TGTATTTGGCTTTTAGCTCCAACAGCTTACGGACCTCTTCGTCAATAATCTCTTTGGCAGCATTGCTGCTCTTGGCGGCACGCACCTTTTCGCCCTGAGCATTGATGTCCAACGTCAGTTGATCAGTGGCAGGCGCAGCCACCTCTGCTTTAATCTCCACCTTAACTTCGACCTTTGCGTCAGGTGTCCAATCTTTGCCAGTTAGAGTTTTGTACTCCGCCTTCAGAGAGAGCAGCTTTTGCACCTCCGGATCGATGGCTGCCTTGGCTGCCTTAGCCGATTTCAGTTGACGTATTTTATCGCCTTGCTCTTTGATTTTAGACAAGACACTGCCAACCTCACCACCACTGCCTGCGTCCTCAGCAGTCAGATCTACGGTAGCGACTGGCGTCGCTATGGGCGCTACGGTGCCTGGCTTCCACTCCTGACCCGTAAGACTCTTGTAGTCGGTCTTCAGAGCCAACAGCAGTTTAACTTCGGCATCAATCAGCGATTTTTCCGACTTGGCAGACTTTAGTTGTCTAATCTTATCGCCCTGCTGCGTGATCTTGTTCAGCAAATTGGCGACGGCACTGGCAGCTGCCGGTTCCGGCGACTTCTCCTGCTTAACATTGATGGCGGCCGGCGCTGTCGTGCCTGGCTTCCAATCGCTGCCGCTGAGCTGCTTGTAGTCCGCTTTCAAGCTGAGCAGCGTCTTTACGGCTGCATCGATGGTGGCCTTATCAGCCTTGGCTGCCTTCAGCTCGCGCACTTTATCACCTTGGGCTGAGATTTGAGCCAGCACTGCAGAAATGTCGGAGGAAGCGGGAGCTGAAGCTGCAGCTGCTGCTGGCGCTGCTGTTGCTCCTCCTGCTGCAACCACGGTTCCTGGTTTCCAATCCTGCCCAGTTAGAGTTTTATATTGAGCTTTCAGCTCCAGCAGTTGCTTGACAGCCGCATCAATCTCTGGCTTAGCTGCCTTTTTGCTCTTCAGCTCGCGCACCAAATCGCCCTGCTTCACAATGCTCGCATTGACACTGGCTGCATCGCCAGCAGCAGCTGGAGCCGCACTTGTCGGTGCCATAGCTGCTGGTGCCTGGCCAGGCTTCCAATCCTTGCCACTGGCGGCCTTGTAGTCGGCTTTAAGGCTGAGCAGCTGCTTGACTGCAACGTCAATTTGGTCTTTCGCTGCCTTTTTAGCCTTTAGCTCACGCACCAGGTCGCCCTGCTGAACAATTTGTTTATCCAAATCGGCAGCTTTGTCCAATGCAACGTTGGCAGTTTTATTGCTGGTCGCCTGCAAACGAAAGAGTCAGTTAAATAATTTGCATATAGTGCAGACGAAAGTGCTTTTCGTTTCAATTTTGAATACGTGTCAGCCATGTAACGTTTCAATTTGCAACAACAAACCAATTTCGTCTTCTTCTTCTTCCTCCACGTTCAACGAAAGGTCTCAGAAGCAAACACAAACCGATCGCCAGCACTGACTGCACGGAACTGGTTTTGCCCTTACCGCCTCACGTTAGAGATGAGCAACATGAACGAACCAGCGAGCCAGTGAACCAAATGAAGAGCTAAGCAAATGCTTCGGAGAATAACTAACAACCATGCTTGGATTACGAATTAAATGATTTGCTCTATTGCTTGAGCTGAATTACACTAAATTTTAATTATATATAAAAAAAAACTAATAAAATTTCCCTCCATACCTACAAGAGGCATACAATCAGTGCTGCCAATTTGGCGATTTACAAACACAGAACACGTGTGAAGTGTGAAAAGTAAGAGGTTGACGGGAATATGTGGAGGTGGGAGGGCCTCTCCCGCTCTCAAGCAACAAGAGAGTTGAGTACTAAATGTTTAGCGTGTGGGAGTGAGATGGGTGTCTTTCCTATTGGTTGCACTACGATAAATACTTGTAAGTGAGGGAGCTCTCTAAATACATATGGATGTATGTCCTATAAAATATAAGTCATAAGCTGCTCTTTCCTTTCACTCTTGCTTGCAAAACCATCTCCTTTCCTTATAAGACATTAGTGTTATTAGTTCTCCCATTGATCACACGAGGCAATCAACTACTCTAGTACTATCAATAAGAATTATTTGTAAATCTCACTTACATTCGTTTTCGCAACTGGCGCTGGGCCTGCATTGATCTTCAGGCCAGACGAGGGCATATCTTTAGTATGGCCATCGGGAATGGAGAAGAGTATGATGGGTGAGGTGACATTTGTGTACGGACTGGGCGGTGCATAGGCGTTGTCCACCTTGAAGAAGCCGCGACGCTGCAGTTGAATGATGTCGCCCTTTTTGCACTTCTTGAGCTCCGGATCGCCAAGCATCTGGACCTCTTCTCGCGTCTTGTGGCCAATGTATTGCTTGAAGTCCTCATCCTTGCCCAGAACCGCTTTGCTAATAATATTGTCAAAGTAAACACAAAACGTGGGTGGATAGGCAGTGGCATCGTCCTCAACTGCCAGCCAGGTGAGTTTCAGCGTCTTCTTGAAGTCTTTGTTGTCCAAATTGAGCGCGGCATCCACGGAGGTGATTGCGCCACTGGCATCTCTGTGGACTTTCTTGATGAGCAAATTGCCCCAGTTGATGAATGTGGCATTCTCGCCCTCTTTGAGAGCCTCAGCGTCCACATAGTCGATGTATATGCGGGGACCCAATGTGACAGTCTTCGTGCCCAGCTTCTCATCCTTGGGATGCACTGGCACTTGAACCTTTTCCAACTTGGCACCGGCCACATTCACAATGATGCGCTTTTCATAGTCCAGCGCGGTGTAACGCGGTGCAATGGGATCAATAACCTTCTTGTTGAAGGCCCAGATCTTGTCCCAATTCATAAATACCACAGATTTGCTGCTGCCTTGAGCAATGATGAACTCCCTGAGTCCTTCGACTGTCATGCCGCGTCTAATGATGCCGCGCACCGTGGGGAAACGTGGATCGTCCCAGCCATCGACCAGGCCCGACTCCACGAACCACGTAAGCTTGCGCTTCGAGAGCACCGTATTCGTCATATTAAGGCGACTGTATTCCCAAATGTACGGCTTGCGCAGCTTAAGTGCATCAATAAACCAATAGAACTGGTCGTCACGATCGTGGTACTCCATAGTACGCAGCGTGTGCGTCACATTCTCAATGGCGTCCACAATGGGGCAGGCAAAGTCGTAAGTGGGATAGACCCTGAATTGATTAGAAATACGTTAAACTTCTAGGTCCTCTATATAAAAGAGCTCACTCACTTGTATTTGGTGCCTGTGCGCGGATGTGGTTCGTTCTTGCAGCGATAGATTGTCGGATCACGCATGCAACCATTGGGAGAGGACATGTCGATTTTGGCACGCACGCAGCACTTTTGGCCAGCCTCGGTGCCCTGCACCATCTCCTGCCACATGGCCAGATTCTTTTCAACAGCTAAATCAGAGGATTTTTGGATTATAGAGCAATAATAATAAAACCAATTAAACATGCTTACGGTTCGAACGGTTTGCCGATTCGATGCGCTGCTCACGCTCCAGCTTCATTTGCTCGGGCGGCGTATCATCTACATAGGCGGTGCCCTCCTTCAGCATTTGAACACAGTAGTCAAGCATGAGATCAAAATAGTTGGAAGTGTGCGTGAAGACATCCGGCTTGATCTGCAACAGTTCCAGATCTCCAAGTATGACATTTTCGAATTCTACAGTCTCTTTGGCAGGATTGGTGTCGTCGAAGCGCATGATCAGCTTTCCCTGGAAGGCCAGCGCATAATACTGGTTGAGCAGCGCCGCCTTGGCGTGTCCAATGTGCAAATAACCCGAAGCCTCTGGAGGGAATCGTACCACAACCTTGCCCATCTCAGCGCCAGGCAGTTCCACAAATTTGCCCTCCTGCTTGCGCTCGCCGCTCTTAGCCGCGGGTTCGTTGGTGCTACGCTTGACACGCGCCTCCTCCGGCAAGGATTTCAGCACCTTCTGGATCAGTGGCTGTGCGTTGATCAGATCATACCAGCGCTGCACGTGCTGCGGAATGCCCTTCGCTGAAAGGAATTCATAGCGCGAGTGCATTTCATTGAACAGGGCGAAATCAGCTATAGTCAACTTATTTGCCACCAAATACGTGACTGGCGCAATGGACTTGTCCAGAAAGGACATGGCCCACGAGATGTCATCCTCGCATGTCAGTGAAAACGAAAGCCAGTGATCGATTTGTGTGCGTTCAATGGCCGTTTCGCCATAAAGCTTGTAATCCGGTGCAGCACGCGCCAGCGCCCGCAACACGTCGTTGTTCGAGTGACAAACCAGGACACGATTGTCCGGGAACTGCAGCGAAGTCTCCTTGCCCCAAACAATTTCCACAGGCACTGAAGCGTTGATCAAATGCGCCGTTGCCAAGCCACCTTAGGTTGTATGGAAGAGACAGCTATTATTAAATGCATAAGATAAAACTGATGCAATAGGTGCATATATTTAGTTCACAAATAGATCCATATGTGTAAATGCAGGCCGCAGCACATTTAACCATAACCTCACAATATTGCAAACAGTTTTAATTAATTGCTAATAGACACAACTTACTGATGGGTGGATTATTAACGTTTGCTTTTAATTTGATAGACATTCTGCCTATATATAAATTCGTTTGCAAACTGTTCGTAAATTATGAAATTGGTCGACTTATATACAAGTGCACGGCAGCCTGCCACCACTTCGGTTTTATTTTGATGAATGAGGAACTAAATGATCGAACTGGATTTCAACGTACAATAAATTGAACCAGTGGATAGCTTCAGTGATATTCCCAATATTCACACTGATGCAATTATACTAATAGTTCAATATAAAAGCAAGATATACAGTTTTGTACTTTGCTGGGAAAAAATCAGCGAATAATTACAATTAATCAGGTTCTTTAATTTTAGAATTGTAAGCCACAGAATATTGTCAAAAAATTTAATTAATCGATTACGAACTACTTATCATCGATAAGAATTCATTTTGCCATTCACACTACATTGGGCTACAGCTGTTTGTGTGCTGATGCAGTGACTGTTGAAAGCTGTTGAAGAAGCAATTTTCCTATATGTACTGAGTGAAAAATTTAAGTTTTGTTAAAATTTGTGGTAATTAAGCCACACACATAGTAGAAACACAAAGCTGAAACAGTTAAAATGGTAAGTTAAGTGGAGTGAAAACAATTTTTGCTCTAGCTAATGTGAAAAGTCAGATTGGATAACAAACCTGCTGCGCTGGCCAGCGCAACACACCTGAGTCACCTTCTCGTGTCAAAAAGTGCATATGGCCGCCTGCAATGAAGTCGGGCTATGCTGATTTTTATATTGCGTGTCATTCCGTTTCAGATGCTGTTTATGTTGCTATTCAGTCGTCAAGGAAAACTTCGACTGCAAAAATGGTATATGGCCTATCCAGACAAGACCAAAAAGAAGATAACACGTGAGCTGGTCACGACAATACTAGCCCGCAAGCCCAAGATGTGCTCCTTCCTGGAGTGGAAAGACTGCAAAATTGTCTACAAACGGTATTTGAATAACAATAGATATGTATACATATACGCTAACCAAAATAACTCTTATATTGCAGCTATGCTAGCTTATATTTTTGCTGTGCCATCGAGCAGAACGACAACGAGTTGCTGACTTTGGAGATAATCCATCGCTACGTGGAATTGTTGGATAAGTATTTTGGCAGTGTAAGCACTTGATATAAATATTCCATATCGATTGTGGCAATTATCATATGCATAATTTGCAGGTTTGTGAATTGGACATCATCTTCAATTTTGAGAAAGCGTATTTCATATTGGACGAATTGTTGATTGGCGGCGAAATTCAGGAGACATCGAAGAAGAATGTCCTCAAGGCGATCGCCTCACAGGATCTGCTACAAGAGGTCAGTACACCAGAGATATATGAACTCTAATGCCTAGCATTGTGTGTGTATATAAGTGTATCTATTTAAATTATGCCGGAGATCTTTTGATTGTTCCATCAATTTTACTGGCCTAAACTAAAGTTTATTTTATTATCTTTATCTCGTTAATGTTTTGTTATATCATACAATTATATTAAAGCCATTTCATGCATATCACTCGGTACATATACCTTTCAAATTCTACTACTTAATTATTATTTTGACTTTCTATACTTTTTCTCTAATTTGTGCAAACGAAACTAATCGAAACTATATAAATTTGATTGAATTTATTGATATTGAACACCAAAACCAAACAGCAAGAAGAGTTCTTTTACTCACTGCAATAGATATTTATTTATTCAATTAATAWTTTATGCAATTTATATATTCAGTGAAACTGTTCTTAAGCTTAAGTTTAAATGATTTGTAAACAGATACACATATTTCTATTTTATTTGCCCTTACTTGTCATTGCATGCAATGCGCTTTTAAATTTTTTAATGTTCCGACAAATTACAAACTTGCCAACAAGATAAACAAAGAATACAAAAAACATAAGAGTCAAACGAAATATACGAGAAGCCCACGCAACTAATTGTGAGAATGAATTGAATGTCTTAATCGTTTTAATCACAATGTTAAGCGCTTGCCATAATTGTAAACATTCAATGTAGTTCCGTCCATTTAGAGTATATATTGCCATTAAAATGTAGTACAATTTGTGGTAGTCAAATTTGTGTATTGTTTCCTAAAACTAAACATTATCGAGAAGGTATCAAGTTATTTGTTTTGCATGACCTTTGTAGTGCTGTAATTACATTACCCAATCGAACTTAATCAACAACAACAACTAACTAACAGTTTTACACTTACATATACCTAAATAGCAACTTATTTAACCGCATATCTAAATGTGTAACCATAATACCCTCTCTCTTGTATTACTATTATTAACGCTTACCCTACCCGCCACTGCATATATCGATGTTACAGGACTTCAATGAGTATTTAAACTAATCACAGTTGACAAGAAAAAACATGAAAACATGAAAATAAACCATTCTGTAAAAAGAAAATATATATAAACAATCATACAAAATGAAAACATTTAATAAATAATAGTTAGGTGGTCTACTGATCCTTAGAGGAACACAATTTAGACAGGATTCCAGATTTGTTTTGTGAAGGATTAGCGTGAAAGTCTCTTGATTAACAACCTGAAGGCTGTAAATATTGCTAAGCTTTTTCTACCTGCCGTCGGCTGCACTTACACTTACATAGGATTTTGTTCGCTGCAATGCGTAGCTTGTCAACTGTCCCGCCCCGCTCGACTCGCCCCGTGCGCTTACAACACACACACGCATACCAACATGCATGTACACATACAGACTGTGTACATGGGCAAACAAAAACTCACACACACACAACTGAGCTGTGCTGTCTACTTCACACACACAAACACACATGCATACTGTGTACATGTCAAGTAATTGTTCACACACACTGTTGCAACTGAGCTGTGCCGTTTTCTTCCTTTAACAACATATTGCAATACATGAAGCAAAACAAAATTAAAACAACACAAACACACACACACACCGAAACACATAGACACTACTCTTTTATCTATTGTATCTACTCTTCTTGTTCTTATTGTTCTTATTCTCTGTACTCCAGGACGAAGCTGTTGAGGGCACTTTAAGAGACATTGGACTACTCTAAAAGAAAGCCAAAAAATAATTAGATTGTAGTTGATATAACACATACGCAAACAAGCACGCACGCCTTTTATAGAACGCAAACACCTTATACACGCATACATACATAAGTAATTAGCTGCAGCGATTTAATGCACAGCACACACACACACACACAGATACACACACAACTTCACAGTGTATGTTAATAATAAAAGAAAAACACAAAATCTTGTCAGTGCGCATTAAAGTTAAACTCTAGATAAATTTGATTTCGTAAGCATAAACAACAAAGTGCAATTAGTATTTTCACATAGCGAGGCTAAAATCTAAAAACTATTCAAACATGTAGCGCATCCAGCAGTCGGTGCGGCGGTGCGTCTAATACAAGCATATGGCGCGTTGTCGTCCTCTCATCCTTAGTAGTGAATAAAGTTCATGCAACATTTACTTAACTTCTCATAAGCGTTTAATAGTTTAATAATTGACAAAAGTATCATTCCGAGACCATCAATGAGAAAGCAATATTGTTTACTTTTATTTTACTATATTTATTCTCCACTCCTAAATGGGCAATAACAGTCGAAAATAGGGAAAATAACTGCAATATATAGAAAATTTAAGCTTTAAAATCGAAAAAAAAAAAAAACAAAAAAAAAATAATAATGCAGAAACTGAAATGAAATATGAAATGTTAAACCTTAAGTAGTAAATAATAAATAATATA